AAAAGAGCATGCATATTACTAACCAGCAGTCCTATTTTAAAAGTCTTTTGTATATTATAAAATAAAGCACAGATACAGAAAATCCTTGGATTTAAGCATATTTGATTGATTGCAATTACTGTTACTGAAGGTCAGATTGTCCCATGTTTGGCGAGTAGAAACCTTTTGAATTTCTGATGTGGGCTAAATTGTGTCCCCTACAAAATTCCTAACTCCCAATATGCTATTTTAGGAGATAGGACCTTTATGGAGGTAATTAAGGTTGAAATGTGGTCATAAGGATGGGCTTTAATCCAGTGACTGGTGACTTTATAAGAAGAAAGGCACCAGTAGTGCTCTGTACAGAGACAATGCCATGTGACGACACGAGAGAGGGCAGCCATATGCAAGTCAAGGAGAACGGTTTCATGAGAAACCAAACTTGCCAGCACCTTGATCTTAGAGTTTCAGGCTCTAGGACTGTCAGAAAATAAATTTCTATTGCTTAAGCCATTGATCTGTGGTATTTTGTTATGGCAGCCCTAGCAGACTATTATAGCTCCTGAGTCCTTTTGATATGACCCTTGGAGTTATTTGATAATTTCTTTTTTTTCCTTCTTTTTTTAAGTATGTATTTTAGAGAGAGGAAGGGAGAGAGAGAGAGAGAAAAAGAGAGAGAAACATCAATGATGTCATTGATCAGCTGCCTCCTGCACGCCCCCTGGTGGGGATGGAGCCCGCAACCCAGGCATGTGCCCTGACTGGGAATCGAACCTCCATCTCCTGGATCCTAGGTCGATGCTCAACCTCTGAGCCACTCTGGCCGGGCTATTTGATAGTTTCTTTGCGACCTGGTGTACAAGACATTTTATCTGGTCTGTCATCTTATATATTTCCTTCCCCAGATCTAGAGTGAGTCATTTCTGCAAGAAGCTCTGATTTCTTCTTGAGAGAAATGATATTTCATGACCGTAATCTGGGCATGAGGAATGCCCTTGCCACTAGTCATTGTTTCTAGGCCTTTTCAGTGAAGCTAGGAAACATATATTTGTTGAAGGTAAATCTCTTCATAATTTCATATTGATGCTTTAATTCAAATTCAAAATCACAGAATTTTACTCAACCTCTTCTTTATTAGGTCTGTATCTTCTTTCTTCCACACTTAAAAATTCTGATTTTCAAGGATACAGTTTAGACTTAAAGATTAGAAAGTGAATATTGCATAATTAAGTATTTGTTTTGAATTTCATATTACTCTCACAACTGTTTCAGCTTACATGAAATATAGTGTTTAGTATTTGTCTTGTTTTCCTCTTCAGGGGCTTGCATTATTAATAATATTTGTTGTCACCGTCTTTCAAGTCCTTTTATTCTTTTTGATTTTTCACAGTTTCTTATTTTCCATCTTCTATTTTTTTAATGCATAACCTTCGTGTGATTGACTCCAGTGTTTCTTCTTGTTTAGTCTTCATTTCAGAATTTTTTTCTTTCATCTTTAATTATTTCTTGAGTTCCATATCTGAGATTTTCTAATTAATTTTGATTCATGTTGTTCTTTCATGTTTTGTTTCATAATCTTTTAGCTTGTTTTGAAATAGTATGGTTATATCTTTGATCTCTTTTGGGGGTGGGGCACGTCTTTCTAGTATGGATATTATGTTGTTCTTTATGCTCTTTTTTGTTATAATAAGTTGGTGTGAGATTTGATGTCTTTTTTTTGTTGTTCATTTTGTTGTTAGCTTTTTTCCTGAAAATTTAGATTGAGACAGGCTTCAGACTAGCTTTTCTACCTTTATAGAGCTTTTTCTTCTGTTATTTTTACGTAGAATTTAAAAGTATGCCTGTTTGTTTTCTGAAATTGCCTGAATTTATTTTCCCTCCCACGTTATTCTAGACCTTTTCTATCTACATCTCTTAGATGCATCCTCTGTTGAATTTTGATTCCACTTCCAGAAGTTTCTTTTCTCTGTGAGGTTCTTCCCTGGAAAGGAGCCTGCTGGATCTGTTCTGAGAATTTGTAGGGATCTGGATCGCTCCTGCTCATTCATTCCTTTCTAACAATAATCCTTTACACACATTTAACAAGGAAGGGACGCAGGACACTCTAAGTTTCAGCTGCTGTTCTCCAGGGAGCCCTCGGTGCTTTCCTGTGACTTGCTGTTGGCTATTTCGGGGCTCTTCTGTCCTCAGGCTCTTCAGATATTACCCCCTGCTTTATTCTTCTTTCTCCTGCCAGAGTCTGTGTTGCGGGTATTAGGGCATCTAGTTTAGTTGTTTTTTCTGGACTTATTTTCTGGTTCTAGGTAGAGATTTGGAGATAGTGGAAACTATGCTGCCACCATCTCTCCAGAGGGCTTCCCAATGTTCCTGTTTTAACCTATTTAAAAACAGCGCAAACAGGTGGATGACAATAACAGTTTCTTATGCTGGAAAACAGAAAGGAAGGCACGGCAACCGCTACTGCAGTTTCTTGGTAAGAAATTAAAAAAGCTCCCATGATTCTGGTTGAGGGCCCCTTCAGCAAGGAGCCTGCTGTTTTATTTTTAACTTAATTTATTTGCAGTGCTTTAATTCTTGTGGAGTTTGATTTTACTGTTCAGAAACATGACTACTGTTAAGAAACATGGCGATTGCCTCTGAGCCTGGGTTGTGTGCTCTCGCTGTTTCATGGCATCCTCAGTTGTGCCGTGTTCTTTGAAGTCAGGCTTTGAAATATTTTTAAAATGTGTCTTGTTGCCATGTAGTATCTGTTTGGATTCCATCTGGCTTTGCTTTCTTATGATGCTTGTTCTATTTACAGAGGGGGAACTGTAGCCTGGGCTTTTTGTCAACATGCATCTTTTTATGTCCTTTGTGGTTATACTGCGAATAAAATGTGAGATACGGCCCTTTCCCCGAGGATGTTTAGTTCCTCTCATCTGTCATCTGGACTGATCCAGGAAGCAAAGGAACTAGTTTCTTGCGGACTCTTTCCCCCTCCTCTGCAACCCAAACTCTGAGTTACTTAAGCATATGTCATAGTTGATGCTGTCGAAAATGTTGTGCCGATTAAACATAACTAATCTTTGAATTACAGCTGATTTGTTTGGAGTTTAGTTTTACGTTGTCGTTACCAGTTTCCAAGATTCTGAATGAAAGTCTGGATTAATCAATGCAGATTGTCATCAACTTGAAGAATGAATTTGTTCTAAGTCGTTTAAATTGCTATCCATGCTTATTCAGAGCTGCTGAGACCTGATGGTCTCTCCCCCACACGATGTTTAGGATAGCCGCCAGGGTAATTAATAACATCTTTCTAAGTGTACTTGCCACCATTTAAGTTTGTGTAAAAAAGGCAGTGGCAACTCTATAACTTTATATTTTAACCTATTTTATTTTTGAATAAATTCCTTTGATGATTCCTAACCTAAAATTTACTTTCTTGCAACTTACCAAACAGATGACTTTTTGCAAAACAGGGATTGAAAGTGGCCAGTTAGGGCTATAGACGAACCATTTACAGATTTAAGACTATGGCTTTCCTCTCAATAGAGTGATGGTGAGAAAGACAGTTTGGGAATCACTCCAAACACCAGCTTCCCCATTTTGTAGTATGTAGGTGTGTGACACTGGGCAGGTTACAGAGCTTCTCTATGTCTGTTTCCTCATGTGTAAAATGTGGTAGTAACGGTCCCTGTATCATAGAGTGATTTCAGTTGTCTTGCTCTTACCCAGAACTAACTGTTGGAAATATGAGTTCTGAGGCTGACTGTGTGAAAGGTGGCTAAGTTTGAAAGGTGGCTTTTATGTGTATGTATTTGTGTGTGGTGTGTACACGTACATATTTTATATTTGCTGATCTAAAATTAGTCAATGAAGAGCGAGCGAATGTGGGAACTGTGAAACTCCCTAGAGACCAAGGGCCACAACTCTTCTTCCTGACCCTAAAATAAGGGAATGACTATCTTATATTAGGCCTTGTAAATACAATTGTTCTGAGCTTTACATAAAACCTGGGTAAAGCCTTGGGATGCCCTGGGACCCTCCCCGTGATGCCCTCGTGAGGGTTATACTTTTTAGGCACCACTGCGTGCTCCAGGCCTTTCCCTCCATTCTCTAGCAGACCTACTATGTATAAAGGTGCTTGTCCTGGGACCCTATCCAGGATGAGAGGTGCTAATCCTATCAGTAAAATTTTTTAACCACGACCATGACATATATATATAATAGCTTCACATTTTGTGTAACATGTATCTTCACAGAAGTTTGCTGAATATGCTTATAAAATTAAAAAGTGCTTTTTAAAAATTTAAATTTGTTGGGGTAACATTGATTAATAAAATTGTTTAGATTTTGAGTATACAGTTCTATGATACAGTGTCTGTATATTGCACTGTGTGCCCTCCACCCAAAGGAGTTGTCTCTAGCAAGCTAGGTGATGAGTAGAATAGTGGGTGCTGGGTTTGGGCCCATGTGGGGATCTTGCTCCCCCCTCATATCATGTTCTCTGATAATCACTTATTCTATAAGAAGCACAATCATGATGTTAAAATGAGAAATCAGGCGAAGATTTTTTTTAACCTCTATTTGCTGTACAAAATTTGATTTTACTTCCTCAGGAAAAACAATTGTTTTAGCCCATATACTTCTCTATACCATATTTGGTACAAATGATTTTGGCTGAATAAAATAAGCAAAAATAAAATTTTCTTACCTTAGCTATGTACTTACATAATTTGTTTTCTATTTGGTCTATTTATTAATTAATAGTAATTAGTTGATTGAGTAGACATACTTAATATTTGATCAAAAAGTTAATAAAATATTTGAGCAGAGCGTTAATGGTTGAGGATATTTTGTTTCATGTTCGTGTTAATAAACAATAGATACATTTTTTAATAGCAAGTGCTATAGTAAATTAGTTCCTCACATGGAACACAAACCCCTTATGTGCAGTGCTGATCCTTAATGCCTGACATATAATATGTGATGTTTGTTAAATGAGCAGGTAATTATTCTGAAAAATATTATATGTGTTCCAGGGCCTGATCTTCAGGTTTGCGTATCCAAAAAACCTACATGTTGCACCAGGAAGATGGAGGAGAGATATCAAGTTGCAGCTCGCCAAGATATGCAGCAGGCGCTTCAAACATCCAGCTCTACGCTGAAGTTTCTAATATCTCGAAATGCAGCTGCTTTTCAAGGTAAATTTACCTAGAGTTCCAGAAACTAAGGACAAACCTTGTTATGTAATTTGCCTGTTATCATTATGTTGGTAAACTTAGCTGGGTTTCCTTCTTTGTCCTTGTATATTATTTTGGTATAAAATGAGGTTTTAGCTTTTTTGAACCTTCAGAAATTGTTTCTGAGGCCATCTGGGGATCGATCTATCGATCATCTATCTATCTATCTATCTATCTATCTATCTATCTATCTATCTATCTATCTATCTATCTATCTA